TGGCAATTAACTTGCAAGGCCACACAGAGCAGAGTTAAAACGGAGCTTCAGAATTTAAACCGACCAGCACGAAAAAAGTTGCTTCCTGCAAAGGCTCACATGCCTTTGCTCTTCCTTTATGTCCTATAGGAGGGGTCAATCACTGGGCTCCCCCTGTTCCTCTGCCTAGATGTTGTCCAACTGTGGAGGCTCTGGAGGCAGCACATAATGCCAGGTGGCCCTGGCCTCCAATCTGCCTCCGACGCAGAGCCCTCATATGAGCCTTTCCCAGACCCCAGAATTGGCCCATGTTCCTCCCCAATCTCCTCACTGCTGCCAGCTCCGCAGGCTGCTAGTAGATTACACCACCATTAAACAACATCTGCCTATACCAGGAAAGGGCTGGAGAGGTAGATAAAAATGCCAAATCAAGTCTAAACATCTAGGTGACTGCAATGAACCATAAAAATAATACATATAATGCTTATTCTCCAACAGTGATCCAAAATTTTCATTCTGGATCTCATATCCAAACAAACACTTTACTTCTGAGAATTTCATGCAAAGGACTATTTAGAAATTTAGACTGCATGTAAAAGTTTATATGAGTTTTCATTTTTTCCCCTTTGTTAAGTAAACTGACTTGAAAGTTAGTAACTTAACACCATACACGAAATAATAGATATAAAAATATGGCTGATTTTAACATGGAAAGGGGTTATGCTCAACATGGTATGCTTTTTTTTTGCACATGCTCTATTTAGTTAAGAAGCCAAGTTTCCCCCATCTGAGAATAGGAGTAGGTGTTTATAAATTTGCTGAAAAATAAGCAAGGAAATTTAAAAACAAGGAAGTGAGCAGCAATGGTTTGCCTTTGAAGATGATTTTAGGGAGAAGTGGGGTTCATTTCTCCAGGTGGCAAGTTCTGTTTGTGACATCCTAGCAGGGTTTCTCTTGCTTAGTCAAGGAACCTTTCTCTCCTTTTTCATTCAATTTCTTTTCTCCCTTCATCTTCTATTCCTTATGTATCGCACTGTTATCCCATCGTCATCCTGTTCTTCACTGTTTTTTGCTCAAAGAAGGGAAGGTGTACATATAAGCATGATTGTGTGCACAAGTGCTTCTTCTATATTTAAGATAAAATTGTTAATATAAGGAAATGAGTGATCAAATTTATTTTAACCAGCAGTAATTTTTTACAATTCGCTATGTTCTCTTCCTGTGAATGGCCTGCACAAAGAAGAAATAAACTCTTCAATTTGCATGCACTACATTAGGATGAAACAAGCACACAAAATAATAGAAAAAGAAGATGATTGTCCTTTTGTGTGTCTTCAACATCACCGACTGACCACCTTGCTCCAATGAATGGCCTGCACAAAGAGACACAGAAAGGAAGANTGACTGCTCTTTAGAAGGCCAGATCCTGAAGATGAAACTCAAATACTTTGGCCACCTAATGAGAAGGAAGGAGTCACTGGAGAAGAGCCTAATGCGACAGAGAATGAAGTGGCTGGATGGAGTCACTGAAGCAGTAGGTGTGAGCTTGAATGGACTCCAGAGGATGCTAGAGGACAGGAAGGCCTGGAGGAATGGGTCAGACACGACTTTGCAACTAACAACAACAACAAATAACTTCCCAATTTTAGGATATTCCAGTACTTTATTGTGTTGTTTTTTTAATATGAACTTCATGCAAGCAAATTATATCTAATTTTAATTTTTCTAATTTACTAAAAGTCCTTTTCCTTTTTATTGCCGAGTTCAGTTCATTTATGTTGATTGACATTAATTTCACTTCTTCCATGGTTTTACTTATAAATGGGTTTTGTTGTTCTAGTCACTCTTTTTTTGATAAAGTTTTTTATTTTAAAAGTATAAACGTTCTGTCTTTCCTTATGCAGTGTGTCACCTGAGTACAAATATTTCTGTGCAACATCCTTCCACAAATTATAATACATTGAATAGTTAAAAATTGTAAAGCTTTTCATTTCCTTCTTAACATGTCTTTTAATAAAAATACAATCATAACATTAAACATAATTATTCTCATCATACTAATACTAACAATTGTCATTTTATTCTTATTTCTATCTTGATATATTTTCTATTCTTCTTTTTGCCTTCTTTTATTTCCAATTTCCTTTTTTATTCTCTAACCATTGATAAAACATTTCCCATATCATATAATAATCAGTTTGTTCTTTCTCCTTCATTGCTAATGTTAGTCTATTCATTTCTGCACATTCTAATATTTTCCTGATCACCTTCTCGTCAGTAGGAATCTCTTCACTTTTCCAATATTGTGCAAATACAATTCTAGCTGCGGTTAATGTATGAGTAATTAAATATGTATTCTGTTTATTATAAGTGTCAGGCAATATCCCCAACAAAAACATTTCTGGTTTCAACTCAATACGTTGCTTTG